CCAGCCGTGGGTCTAGGGCTGGGTGGGAATGGGCCCATCCTGTGATCCCGGCACCCCTGCTCCCCTCGGGTCCCTGCCCAGCGGGAGGTGTGTTGGGGACGGTGTCGCTGCCCTGTGATGTAACACCGTGTCCTCCTTCCTCACCCCAGGTCTGTTTTTTTGTCGGTCTCTATTACAACGTCATCATCGGCTGGAGCATCTTTTACTTCTTTAAGTCCTTCCAGTACCCTCTTCCCTGGAGCGAGTGCCCCATCGTGAAAAACGGCTCGGTGGCCGGGAAGGGACAGCCGCTGGCGCGGGGGGGGGGGTGAGGCTCATCCGGGAGGGAGCAGTTCCCGGGGAAGGGGGTCTGTGGGACGCTGGGGACCCCCAACATCTGTAGCTATTGCAGATTGGGGACACCAGAGGTTGGGGTGTCTCCTGGGGCACCGGGTCCTCTCCAGCCCAGCTGCTTGGATCATATGGAGATGTTTCCCTCGGGTCAGATGAGTCTCTCCCATGCTCTCACCTCGGGGTCTTTCCACGCTGTTGGGATCTGATGCCAGTTTGGGGATCCAGAGCTTGGGTCTCCAGGCTGCCGTGGTGCTCAGGGCCAGGATCTGTCCCAGGACCGTGGAGGGAGGCAGCGAGAGCCAGGCAGAGCTCACCTGGCTGCTTCATCGATCCCGGCTGGGACTCTGATGGAGCTAATGATGTTTAGTAGTGTCTGAGCGTCTGCTTGGGACACTCTGGGAGACTTCATAGCAAATGCAAATGTCTCTCCTTGTATTTAACATCTTTTCACCTCACAATGACTTTATGTTCTGTCTCTTCTTTTTCCTGGTAAAAACGAGCCCCATTAATCCCTGTCCCTTAGTTTCCAGAGGTGCCTGCCTTCCCTGGCTGGCTCCAGCAAGTCTTTGACGTTAATTGATGTTCATCCCCCGAGAGATGGTGGGTAACTCTCCCATAGCTCCCTCACGCTCCCCCGCCTCTGCTTGGTTGCAGTTGTGGAAACCGAGTGCGAGAGAAGCTCAGCCACCACCTACTTCTGGTACCGGGAGACCCTGGACATCTCCAACTCCATCTCGGAGAGTGGGGGGCTCAACTGGAAGATGACCCTGTGTCTGCTGGTGGCCTGGAGCCTTGTTGGTTTGGCCATGATCAAAGGCATCCAGTCCTCAGGGAAGGTGGGTATCGGTGGCCACCTGAGCCTGGCTGCGGTCTGTCCTCGAGGCAGAAACCTCCTGCCTGGACCACGCTCTCCTGCCCTGGTCTGGGGTGACTGGAGGATGCTGTGTCCCCTGGGGGATGCTCACACCCACCCCAGAGTTGGGGCCATCTCTGGGGGGATCCAGAATAAGATCAAAAGAGGGTTTAGGGATGAGGTTTAGTCCAACTGGCACCCGCAGCAATGGCCCAGGGCTCAGCCATGTCAGGCTAGCCAAATCACCCGCCCAGCCCCTGTATTCGGGGGCCATCCACTGTCCCATCCCCTGACGCACACCACCTCGGTGGATGCTTGTAGGATGGAGGGGTGAGCCCTCCTTCGCGGGGGGAGCACTGGAGCTCTGCGCAGGGAGGGCAGGGAGGAACAGAAAGCTTTGGCAGAGGGACACCACCAGCTTGCAGAGGCTGTTGACGTTTCAAGCAAGGCTGTGGAAGCAGTGGGGTCGGACGCAGAAGGGTATGGTCTCCTGGGACTCTCGAACATCCCTGTCTCCAGATGTGCTCTGCAAAACATCTGGTGCATTAGCAGGTAGCAGAGGGCAATGAGACCCCCGCCCCGTGGCCGTCAGGGCAGCGGGGTGGGAGTGAGGTGCAGATGTCCCCCCTGCCCAGGATGAAGCCCCATCCACCTCTGCGCACTGGGGCGCTGGAAGCGTGCCCCCGGCCAGGAGCCGGCTGGGGGGGCTGCCTGCAGCCCTGGGCTGATGCCGGGGGAAGGGGATGGGGGTGCAGCGCTGACCTTCCCTCAGGCTCCCCAGGCACCAGCACTTTGTGCTTCGGCCAACACCAGCATCTTCACCTTCAGCAGCTCCAACAGATTTTCCCTCTTAAGCGTGTCCAAGCGCTTGGCAAATCCACCTGAGCTTCAGCACTTGTCACGTCCTGCCCCGAGGAGTCCCACAGCTTAACCCTGCGCCGCCCGAGGAGCAGACCTCATTTTGGGGAGGGTACCCCTCCCTTCGCAGCCCCGTGGTCCTGTCCCCGGGTTGGATGGGGAGGTGGCTGAGCTCAGCGGGCAGTCAATGAGGTTGTTGCCCGTGTTGCGTCCCTCTCGCCTTAGGTGATGTACTTCAGCTCGCTCTTCCCTTACGTGGTGCTGGTTTGCTTCTTGGTGCGGGGACTTCTGCTGCGCGGGGCGGTGGACGGGATCATGCACATGTTCACACCCAAGGTAAAAGTCTCCGAGCCCAGCAGACTCTAGGCAGGTTCTCCTCCTGTCTGGCCATACCCTATTTTCCCTTATGCTCCCCCCCCCAAAACCAGAGTACCAACCCCAAACTGCCTCGCAGATCCTGATATATCATCAGGATGTGCCAGCAGCACCCTAAATACAGGGTGCGGCCAGGAGAGCCAAGAGCCTCCCAAAGTCACCACCCCGGAGCTGCTGTTTGAGCCTTAGCATCACTCCCATCACCTTTAGGTGCCCAGACACCAGGCTGGGGGTCTGGGGGTGCCTGGGGTGATATATTTAAAGACTCCACGGGAAGATACTGGCTGACAGGAAAACTTCCGCTGGTGGTATGCATCCATTAATTAACCAGATAATTAATTAAGCAGAGATGTAAATGGATCAGCTCAGCCAGTGAGGCTGTTAGAAGGTATTAATTATGATCTCTTTGATCTCTTGATGAATGATGTTCAGAGACCTCCAGCCTGCAGCTCTGGCTTGCAGGAGAGGGGGGATGTGGTTGAGGGGACGGGAGGTTAAACAAACCCGCCAGCTGAGACGTTTGATTTCAAGTGCTCCAGGCACTCCAAAGGCAGAAGATGGAGGATGGACACCCCTCGCTGGGCGGCACGTGGCTCCCTTGGGGAGGGGGACGGGGACGCCAGCTCTCCAGGGCGGCTGGGTAGTCCACTGGGAAGCTGTAGGGCTTTGCACTGGGAGATCAGGCACCCAGCTTGGGCTCTGGGGCAGATGGAGCACCCGGAGGCATGGTCAGGTCAAATCTTTGCCTGCCCTTTCCCATGCCTCAGTTTTCCCCTCTGTGGGAAAGAGAAGAAGGACCTATGAGCACTGGGTAATGCAAGACCTGATTGTGGTAGATCGAAGCATATCCATGGCTGCTCCAAAACCAGCCCAGGTTGTAGGCACAACAGCCTTTTAATTTAGCTCTGGCTCCACTGGGATGAGTTTGGGGGCCACTAAACCACCTAACTTCTTCTTCTGTCTCGCCTCCAAGCTGGACAAGATGCTAGACCCCCAGGTGTGGCGGGAGGCAGCTACACAGGTTTTCTTTGCCTTGGGCTTGGGCTTCGGAGGAGTCATCGCCTTCTCCAGCTACAACAAGCAGGACAACAACTGCCACTTTGATGCCACGCTTGTCTCCTTCATCAACTTCTTCACGTCTGTCCTGGCCACCCTGGTTGTGTTTGCTGTGCTGGGCTTCAAGGCCAACATCATGAATGAGAAATGTGTGGTGGAGTAAGAGGATTTGCTTTTTCTCTGTTTGGGGTGGGCAGGTGGGCAGGTCTTTGCTACTGCTGGTTGTGGTGGGTCTGCAGGCAATAAAGTGCTCTGGAGCTGGGCGATACTGTTGGACTCAAGTTCCTGATGGTCAAGACCTGGATTCCCAGAGATGTCCCAGTGTAGCTGAGATAGTTGGGTATTCATCTCCTCCAACCTAAAATCCAGCTCTAAGATGGTCTCTTAGTCTGCAAATTGACAGTAAATCTAACACGTCTGGTCACATCACCTGGGTTTCTCCCAGTTTTGACTCATCATAGGGTCCACTTGCCCGCAAGGTTAAGGGACTTGCTGTGCTGCACCCCAGAAGCAGCTGGAGGAAGATGAATTTGTGCACCGAGTGTTACCTTTAGACAGTGAGCTGAAGCCATAAAAATTCTGGCCATGCGGTGTGGAGTCCCAGAGCAGGAGAGAAGCACGTGGCTGAGAAGGAGGCACAGAGAGCCCATTCCCTGGTGGTCCCCCATCTCCGCCCTCTGTCGTGTGGCCTTAATGCAATGTTTACTTACACCTCGGGAAATTGCAAAGAGGTCCTCTGACTGGGACCTGGGTAATGTGGCCCAGGGAGATTCATCCTGCCTGATGCAAAGGGCTTCCATGGTCAGGCCCCATCCTCCACCCTGCGAGGAAGGGGACATCTCTGGGTGACCAGGCTCTGCTCTCCCTTAGGAATGCTGAGAAGATCTTGGGCTACCTGAACACCAATGTGCTGAGCCACGACCTCATCCCACCCCACGTGAACTTCTCCCACCTCACCGCCAAGGACTACAACGAGATGTACAGGGTGATCATGACAGTAAAAGAGGGGCACTTCAAAGAACTGGGCTTGGATGCCTGCCTGTTGGAGGACGAACTCAACAAGGTACCTGGTGACATTCCTAGTAGGACCAGGAGGTCACCTACACCATTGCCTCTCCCTGGTAGAAGCTGCTCTACTTGTGCCATGCCTGGTACATGGATCTGGAAGAACTATTTTTAGAGACCTTCCAGGGATGGGGATTCCCTGTCGCTGTGGTCTTCCCCAGCACACAGTGGTCCTTCCTGGGGTGGGGGAAAGGTCTGCCCATAGCCAGTCTAGCAGGGTCATCACCACTTCCAGGCTGGGGTACCAGACTGAATTTTTCTTTCCTTGAAGAGTGGTTCAGTGCAACAGGAGAGACCTGAGACATGCAGGGGCTTGTAGGCTGTGTCCCTGATGTGTTTCTCCTCATCTTTTGGTCCTTTCTCCCCCTGAACAGTCAGTGCAAGGAACTGGCCTGGCCTTCATTGCCTTCACAGAAGCCATGACCCACTTCCCAGCCTCACCGTTTTGGTCCGTCATGTTCTTCCTGATGCTGATAAACCTGGGTTTGGGGAGCATGATCGGGACCATGTCAGGCATCACTACGCCCATCATCGACACCTTCAAGGTGCGCAAGGAAGTTTTCACAGGTGAGGTCTTTTCTCCTGCAACCTCCTGGGGAAGGGGTGGAGGGTCCCTGTTGCCCTGGGGAGTCACTCCAGAAGAGTGTGGACATAGTGGACATGTACTGAGCCCTGCTAATGTAGGGAATGGACCTTGTGGTGGAGGCCTTGGTTCCCCCTGGGGTGCTCTACTGACCATGCCCGTTTGCTCCCCACAGTTGGTTGCTGCATCTTCGCCTTTGTGGTGGGACTGATCTTTGTGCAGCGCTCTGGGAATTACTTTGTCACCATGTTTGATGATTATTCAGCCACGCTGCCGCTCACGGTCGTGGTCATCCTGGAGAACATCGCTGTGGCCTGGATTTACGGCACCAAGAAGTAAGGCGCTTGTACAACAAAAAGAATAACTGCGCTGTAACTCCTGGCTAAAAGAAAACCCTCCTTCCAGCTCTTTTCCATATGACGTTTTCCCCAGGAGTCCAGCTTTGATGGGGGCAGCTACCTTACACAGGCAGGAACTCAGTTCACCTTGGTCCTCTTGCCCTGCCCTAGGTGTAACCCAGCCCCAGGAGCACGTCCTTCCAGTGGGTGTCTACTGTTGGTTGTGGTGCTCTGTCACTTGTGATTACCCTTTTGTCTGGGATTTCCAGGTCCTTCTGGAAGGGGATCTCGTTCCCTCCAGTGCCTGTTCTTGTTGTCCATAAGTTGGCCAGAGCAAGGGAGGCCCTGGCTAATGCTCAAGTGGCCTTTTCCTTAGGAGGTTCCCAACCAGTCCTACAGGCTTGAGGGACACCGAGATGCTTGCCTGGATCAGCTGGGTTCTTCTTCAGGATCTACCTTGAGCACAATTTACAATGGGGGCTCCTGGGAGGGAGTTTCTCGCTTGAAGGTGGGGAACAGCATGGTTCCATCTCTTCTTCTCGGCAGGTTCATGCAGGAGCTGACAGAAATGCTGGGTTTCCGGCCCTATCAGTTCTACTACTACACCTGGAAGTACGTCTCTCCCATCTGCATGGCCGTGCTCATGACCGCCAGCATCATCCAGCTGGGAGTCAGCCCCCCGGGCTACAGTGCATGGATCAGAGAGGAGGTGAGCACAGGTCCCTTCCCCACTGCCACCTCCACCCTAGGTCCAGGCTGAGCAGGGGGCAGATGAGAGCTTGCAGACCACCCTGCTCTTCACAGTTCTGTAGGTTCCTCCTCCCCTCTCCTGCTGGGAGACGTCCTGCCTGTGGCCGCTCATCCTCTGCAGGCAATCAGGTTTGCCCACACTGCCCAGAAGTCTCCAGCCAGCTCTGACCATGGGCTGAAGTTTGAGCTTGGTTTTTGGTTTGCTTCCACAGCTACACGCTGTGTGCAGGACCATGTCCTTTTCCTTGACTTGAACCCACCTTCTGATAGCTTCATGAGGTGCCCCTCGGGATGAAGTCTGGCAGGAGGCAGCAGGGACTGCCTAGCACTTAGGAGATGTCGTACCTGGTGTGCATCACCTTCGCTGCAACAGCCCCTGGACACTAATATCTGTCTCTTCCAGGCTGCAGAAAAGTTCCTTTTCTACCCGACCTGGGCCATGGCTATCCTCATCTCTCTGATCATCCTGGCATCCCTCCCTCTGCCTCTGGTCTTCATCCTCCGGCAGTTCCACCTCGTGTCGGATGGCTCCAACGCCCTCTCTGTCACCTACAAGAAGGGCCGGATGATGAAGGACATCTCCAATTTGGAAGACAACGATGAGACCCGCTTCATCCTGAGCAAAGTGCCCAGCGAGACCCCATCCCCCATGCCCACGCATCGTTCCTACTTGGGTCCTGGAAGCAACTCTCCCATGGAAATGAGCAGTGCCCCAAACGGACGATACGGGAGTGGGTACCTACTGGCCAGCACCCCTGAATCCGAACTGTGATGGTTGCCTGCTGACCACCCCCACCGGGAGAGGAGGTCACTGGGGAGTGGATTCTGGCTGTCCAGGCAACAGGAAAATTAATTAATAAGGAAGATGAAGAAGAAACCCCTCTTAAAATCGTAACCAAAAGCAGCCATTTCTAAGATGACATCGGGAAGAAGGGGTTGCGGGAGGGGCAGGACTCCTCCGACAACCCTGGGCTGAAAGGCAGGATCCCCCAGGCTTGCCGTCGGGGAAGGGAGGAGGAACAAGAGACGCTGCAACATCTTTCTGAGAGTTGTTATCACGCAGCTCAAATCTGAAGCAAAGAATCTCTCTTTTCTAAGCAGCTGATGGTTGGAAAAAGGACTTGGCGTCAGGTGGAAAGCCAACCACGCTTCCTCCTGTAACCCTGTGCTCTTCCCTCCCAGTCTCTTGTCCTTTAGCCGGGAGGAGTCATGGCCTTATTCCAACGAGCACAATTAACCATTGATGTTCATAGCACAAAAAGGTGCTGTTGTTGTCACCATCGTTATTGTTGTTGTATCTCCCTTAGGTTTTTACAGCTGTGGACACGCCCAAATAACCCCCAGATTTTGACCAGGGTTGGCAGGGAGCAGCGCGGGCTGAGAGGTCGCAACGTGTCAGACGGTGGATGGTGGATCCTTGGTATCTGTGTTGTTACCAGCAGCATGGGGACAGTGTCTGTGGGTTGTTCTGAGACACAGAGATGTCACGTCCGTGGGATGAAACGGTCAGCGCGCTCCGTGGTTTTAGGCAGTTATCGTGCTGAGTGGCAGAAGGACCTCAGAAGTGAGGGTGGTTTGGATGTGTGAACGTGTGTGGGGTCTGGATAGGGTTACCGTGATGGGGGTCAGGAGTGATCTCCGGGAATTACTCCTGACATGTG